TGGGGGAAAATTATTAGGAAAATGGAAGACATACAAGGACACTGATAATCTCCCTCGACTGGGGGCTCGCAAGACTCCCCGTGGGTCAAAATGATCACAAGAACGTGAGCAAAAATCCCAGAAACCACACGGGGGGACCTAGTGAATGACCTGCAGAGAGCTGGGACCAAAGTAACAAAGCCTACCATCAGTAACACACTACGCCGCCAGGGACTCAAATCCTGCAGTGCCAGACGTGTCCCCCTGCTTAAGCCAGTACATGTCCAGGCCCGTCTGAATTTGCTAGAGGTGCATTTGGATGAACCAGAAGAGGATTGGGAGAATGTCATATGGTCAGATGAAACCAAAATATAACTTTTTGGTAAAAACTCAACTCGTCGTGTTTGAAGGACAAAGAATGCTGAGTTGCATCCAAAGAACACCATACCTACTGTGAAGCAGGGTTTGGAAACATCATGCTTTGGGGCTGTTTTTCTGCAAAGGGACCAGGACGACTGATCCGTGTAAAGGAAAGAATGAATGGGGCCATGTATCGTGAGATTTTGAGTGAAAACCTCCTTCCATCAGCAAGGGGCATTGAAGATGAAACGTGGCTGGGTCTTTCAGCATGACAATGATCCCAAACACAACAACGCCCGGGCACGAAGGAGTGGCTTCGTAAGAAGCATTTCAAGGTCCTGGAGTGGCCTAGCCAGTCTCCAGATCTCAACCCCATAGAAAATCTTTGGAGGGAGTTGAAAGTCCGTGTTGCCCAGCGACAGCCCCAAAACATCACTGCTCTAGAGGAGATCTGCATGGAGGAATGGGCCAAAATACCAGCAACAGTGTGTGAAAACCTTGTGAAGACTTACAGAAAACGTTTTACCTGTGTCATTGACAACAAAGGGTATATAACAAAGTATTGAGAAAACTTTTGTTATTGACCAAATACTTATTTTCCACCATAATTTGCAAATAAATTCATAAAAATCCTACAGTGTGATTTTCTAGAAAAAAAAATCTCATTTTGTCTGTCATAGTTGACGTGTACCTATGATGAAAATTACAGGCCTCTCTCATCTTTTTAAGTGGGAGAACTTGCACAATTGGTGGCTGACTAAATACTTTTTTTCCCCACTGTACATTTCCTCAAATTTATAAAAACCTATTTTTGCTTTGTCAATAGGCATGTTTATTGTGCGTAAATCGATGAAGGAAAAAAAACAATTTAATCAATTTTAGAATAAGGATATTATCGTAACAAAATGTGGAAAAAGACAAGGGGTCTGACTACTTTCCGAAGTACCAGTCAAAAGTTTGGGCACCTACTCATTCAAGGGTTTTTCTTTATTTTTATTATTTTTTACATTGTAGAACAATAGTGAAGACATCAAAACTATGAAATAACACAGTGGTTTCTTTGCAGCAATTTGACCGTGAAGGCCTGATTCACACAGTCTCCTCTGAACAGTTGATGTTGAGATGTGTCTGTTACTTGAACTCTGTGAAGCATTTATTTGGGCTGCAATTTCTGAGGCTGGTAACTCTAATGAACTTATCCTCTGCAGCAGAGGTAACTCTGGGTCTTCCATTCCTGTGGCGGTCCTCATGAGAGCCAGTTCCATCATAGCGCTTGATGGTTTTTGCGACTGCATTTGAAGAAACTTTCAAAGTTCTTGAAATGTTCCGTATTGATTGACCTTCATGTCTTCAAGTAATGATCGACTGTCATTTCTCTTTGCTTATTTGAGCTGTTCTTGCCATAATATTAACTTGGTATTTTACCAAATAGGGCTATCTTCTGTATACCCCCACTACCTTGTCACAACACAACTGATTGGCTCAAACGCATAAAGAAGGAAAGAATTTCCACAAATTAACTTTTAACAAGGCAAACCTTTTAATTTATATGCATTCCAGGTGACAATCTCATGAAGTTGGTTGAGAGAATGCCAAGAGTGTGCAAAGCTGTCATCAAGGCAAAGGGTGCCTATTTGAAGAATCTCAAATATAAAATATATTTTGATTTGTTTAACACTTTTTTGGATACTACATGATTCCATATGTGTTATTTCATAGTGTTGATGCCTTCACTATTATTGTACAATGTAAAAATTAGTGCAAATAAAGAAAAACCCTTGAATGAGTAGGTGTGTCCAAACGTTTGACTGGTAGTGGTACATACAGTGAACTGAGCATCCCTGAATAACATTTAAGTCAAAATGATACCCCATTTAGGCCTAAGAGCTAAATCTTGGTTTCATCAGACCAGAGAATCTTGTTTCTCATGGTCTGAGAGTCTTTAGGTGCCTTTTGGCAAACTCCAAGCGGGCTGTCATGTGCCATTTAATGAGGAGTGGCTTCCATCTGGCCACTCTGCCATAAAGGCCTGATTGGTGAAGTGCTGCAGAGATGGTTGTCCTTCTGGAAGGTTCTCCAATCTCCACAGAGGAACTCTAGAGCTCTGTCAGAGTGACCATTGGGTTCTTGGTCACCTCCCTGACCAAGGCCCTTCTCCCCCGATTGCTCGGTTTTAACGGGGGGACCAGCTCTAGGAAGTGTCTAGGTGGTTCCAAACTTCTTCCATTTAAGAATGATGGAAGCCACTGTGTTCTTGGGGACCTTCAATGCTGCAGAAATGTTTTAGTACCCTTCCCCTGATCTGTGCCTCAACACAATCCTGACTCGGCGCTCTACATACAATTCCTTCGACCTTATTGCTTTGTTTATGCTCTGACATGCACTGTCAACTGTGGGACCTTATATAGACAGGTGTGTGCCTTTTCTAAATCATGTCCAATCAATTGAATTTACCACAGGTGGACTCCAATCAAGTTGTAGAAACATCTCAAGGATGATCAATGGAAACAGGATACAGCTGAGCTCAATTTCGAATCTCATAGCAAGTGGTCTGATTACTTATGTAAATAAGGTATTTCTGTTTTTAGTTTTTAATACATTTGCAAACATTTCTAAAAACCTGTTTTCGCTTTGTCATTATGGGGTATTGTGTGTAGATTGCTGAGGATTTCTTTTTTTTTAATCCATTTTAGAATAAGGCTGTAAAGTAACAAAATGTGGAAAAAGTCAAGGGGTCTGAATACTTTCCGAAGTCACTGTATGTATGTGTGTGTGTGTGTGTGTGTGTGTGTGTTGAACTGAGCATCCCTGAATAACATTTCAGTCAAAATGATACCCTAGCCATGTGTTCCTACAGCTGCCTCATATTAAACATACCGTAGTTGTAGTGTTGGCCTAATTTAAAATACATTGTCTACAGTATGCCTCCTTTGTCGTGTTTTCACCTTCATGTCTTAGTATTTATTCAACATATTATCATAACATGTTTATCACTTTTTCCAGGGCTGAACACAGGGAGAAAGCAGTTTGATACCACATCACTAAACGTGTAGAGATGTGACTTTGTCTCAACATTATAAAAAGACAAAGTTTGTCTGTCACTGTCTAGAAACCCTCCTGCTATAGAAAGATATTCTGCCACAGTTACTTGTTTTGGCGGGTTAGTTGTTTTTACATGGAAACCTTTTCCTTTTTCATAAAATAAAATCCAGAAACCATACTGAGGAGTTAAAGGAATGGTAGATTTTCTCTGAGCATTTTCTCTGGCCACACCGATATACCATGACAGCTTTTCTGTACAATTATCCCCCATCTTCACTTCCCAGTAGTGCTGTCCAGAGATTAAACGCTCTTTACCCAACACATGGGGATGCTTGTTTGAGGAATTGTTAGCTTCTCCTGTGCTGTACTGAGCCTTTTTTCCTTCATCACTCGCATTAAAAGCAAGGTGAGCAGTCTGGGGCATCCATAGTGACGTTCTCTGAGGGAAGAGAATATGATTTCATTAATTCAGACACAATGTTGACATGGATAAGTCTTACAATTTAGGCCCATACAATAATAGTTATCATCTAATAAACATCTAGTAATTTTGTCCACAAAGAATATCCTACTTTTGAATCCTTTCACCTGGAGCCAATCTGCAGAAAAGCAAATATGAAGTCAATGGAAAACACTGAGATTATATAATTTAGATTCACATTACTATGAATATTAGACTCTAGTTAAATTTACTAAACTTTAGGTTATTAACTTTACCTTTTAGATTAATTCCTTCTTCAACAGCTTGTTTCTCATGAATGTGTCCTGCCTCTACGAGCACAAATACCATAAACATAAAATACCATAAAATAATTTTATTGAAATGTATACAAATATTAGTGACTCAAGACAGACTTTTGGATATGAAGCATGGTTATCAAACTTAGGAATGTTATACATCATAATCATGACTATTCATTGATTACCTTCAATAAGGTGTCTTGACTCTGTTGAATGGGGAAGGTGGAAGGCAGTGTAAAAGTGTGACATTTACTTGCGATATGTGTGTATTTGCACAAACATTTGACTTAGTCAAATGTACAGTATCTGTTATATCACCCAAATAAGATGGATTGAGAATGAAAACGTTACCTGGCCTCTGCTCAAGCTCAGTTTCTGCTGAAATGCAGAGAAAGACCACGCATCATATTTTATGATACAACATATCTGATATCTCATTAGATACACATCATATTTCTATTTATTGTATGTCACACAGATCATATAACAATGTACATTACCTGGACTGCCTTTGCTTTTTTGTGATGACAACCGTGCCAGGGAATCTAAAATAAAAAATAATGATTGTTGAAATGCTTTCTTAGATAAAAGGTTAGTAATAAATAGTGATAGTAACAAGTTACAGTATATACTTCTTTGTTTGCCCAGCATGATGACCACAGATGCAAGAGCCGAGAGGAGGAGCAGAGACAGGACCAAATATGCAATAAATGCTTCTCTCCAGGGTCCTGCACACAGAAAATCAAATTCACAAATTCACCCAAGCACTCATAAGATAGAAAGATAGAGACACATCTTCAGCATGTTCACATTCCTCTTACAGCAGAGTATGTGGGATGGGAAGTAAGTGGGATCTGAATGGGTGAATGCTGTTTGTAGGACACTCACTCACCAGGCTGGCATATCTGTGGCAGGATTCTGCTCTCGCGCTTCTTCTCCTCAGACAGAGAGACTGTACAGGAGAGCCAATCTGAGTCTGAGAGAGAATACAGCAGCCAACTACTTACACTCACCAAGCCCTGAGAATCTGATTCAGCAAAGAGAGACAGAAAGAGAGAGAGAGATAGACAGAGAAAGAGAGAGAGAGAGACAGAGATAGATAGAAAGAGAGAGAGAGGATGGTTTTGATTTTCACTGTTAGGTTCTAAATAAACAGAGTGAAACTCACTGATGACTAGTAAAGCTCAAACCAAGTTTATTCACCCACAGGGTCACACAGCTGCATCAGACAAAGACATATTTACACAATCACAGGTATTTAAACCTTCCTCCTATGCTGAGTATCCTCCTTAAACATCTGGACAGTCAATACATCTATGTTGCTACACAGGAAGTTAAGTGATATGGCTAATAAACTGTTTCTTCTCCTTTCATGTGACCTGACCTCGGCCCCCATTCCTCACTAATCCACAGCTATCCACCCTTATCAGTGACCGCAACCATGTGATTGCCTTTTCCCTTACTTAGTAACATTCCAAGCCCCTGGCTCATATCCAACCTCCATTGACCCCACCATACACATTCCTCCTACATATAACCATTAACTTCTGGTGTAGCAAGTATTTCAAATTACAACCCAACAACTGAAACCAGACTGTGGCCCTTCTCTTCTCCATAGGATACCTGATGTCTAGCAATAACATGTTCTGACAGAATGTAAACGTTCTGCCTTCCCCTCTCTCCCTCAGTAACATGAATAAGGATATTTCATATTTCAAGTTTAGAAGTCAGAACCCATCATCACAATGAACATTTTACATACATTTGTATGTTATCATTGCAAGTAATGTTTTTACCAGATGTGTAGAGAACTTCTTGTCCATTTCTGATCTCTTTCCCCTCTTTGTTTCTCCAGGTGACTGTAGGTTGTGGTGACCAGCCCACTGATGAACAGGTAACGTTCACCTGACCTCCACTTCCTCTTGCTTCAGCAATAGAGACAACTGGGATACCACCTAGTACTATTGGAAATATAGGGAGTTCAACCCCAAAAATAGATAGCACTGTTAGAAAGTTTGTTCTATTTTCAAGAATTGTTCATAAATTCAACAAAATGAGTAATACTAGTTAGATTCTGAACTAGATTCAACCCAAAAGCACAGTATCTCTCCCTAAACAAGTTTACATCACGTTATGTTTGTTTACAGGTTCATCAATTGAAGAAACATAGTCCTCTGCTCCTTACCAATCAGTGTGAGGGACACTTTGGCCTTTTCATACCAATGTTCACTGCTGACATGGCACACATACTCTCCCCTGTCTTCCAGAGTGACCCTCTCTAGTCTCAGGGACACGTTCCCCCTCTCCAGCCCCCCAGTTAGAGACACCCTGCCCCAGTACCGGGGATCCATAGATGCCTGGATGCTGTGGTCCTTGTATAACAAGGCAGGTCGGTTGAAGTTACCAGGACGGTACCAACACACCTCCAACGGCTCTGCACTGAAGATTGGTGAGAGTTCACAAGGTAGGGAGATGGAGGCATTTATCTGGGTCAAGATCGGACCATGAGGGACCACCAAAGTGAAGACCTCTGGGGCTGGGTAAAGGGTAAAAGAAAGAAGAACGTGCTATGAATAATTATCATTCACTTTGCCCTGTTTATGCACTCAGTATTGTTACATTGGACAAGGAAGAGTAGTTCCTTACTCAAAATGCTTTTATTTTGTGAACATTCTTACCAGGTTTTTGAGCTGGGATAGGATCAGTGAGAGCTGACAGTATCAGCACCCTCACAAATACCCCTGTGTTGAAAAAAGAGGACAACAACACTGTTACATTACCCAGCTAAATGTATAAATCAATCAAACAATTACATTTACATTTACATTATAGTCATTTAGCAGACGCTCTTATCCAGAGCGACTTACAGGAGCAATTAGGGTTAAGTGCCTTAGTCAAGGGCACATTTACGTCATTTAGCAGACGCTCTTATCCAGAGCGACTCACAAATTGGTGCATTCACCCTATAGCCAGTGGGATAACCACTTTACAAATTATTATTTTTTTTGGGGGGGGGGGGGGGTAGAAGGATTACTTTATCCTATCCCAGGCATTCCTTAAAGAGGTGGGGTTTCAAATGTCTCCGGAAGGTGGTGAGTGACTCCGCTGTCCTGGCGTCGTGAGGGAGCTTGTTCCACCATTGGGGTGCCAGAGCAGCGAACAGTTTTGACTGGGCTGAGCGGGAATTATGCTTCCGCAGAGGAAGGGGAGCCAGCAGGCCAGAGGTGGATGAACGCAATGCCCTCGTTTGGGTGTAGGGACTGATCAGAGCCCGAAGGTACAGAGGTGCCATTCCCCTCACTGCTCCATAGGCAAGCACCATGGTCTTGTAACGGATGCGAGCTTCAACTGGAAGCCAGTGGAGTGTGCGGAGGAGGGGGGTGACGTGAGAGAACTTGGGAAGGTTGAACACCAGACGGGCTGCGGCGTTCTGGATGAGTTGTAGGGGTTTAATGGCACAGGCAGGAAGGCCAGCCAACAGCGAGTTGCAGTAATCCAGACGGGAGATGACAAGTGCCTGGATTAGGACCTGTGCCGCTTCCTGTGTAAGGCAGGGTCGTACTCTCCGAATGTTGTAGAGCATGAACCTGCAGGAGCGGGTCACCGCCTTGATGTTAGCGGAGAACGACAGGGTGTTGTCCAGGGTCACGCCAAGGCTCTTCGCACTCTGGGAGGAGGACACAACGGAGTTGTCAACCGTGATGGCGAGATCATGGAACGGGCAGTCCTTCCCCGGGAGGAAGAGCAGCTCCGTCTTGCCAGGGTTCAGCTTGAGGTGGTGATCCGTCATCCATACCAGTGGCGGCTCCTGAAAAAATTCTCAGGAGGGGCAATTTTTCTGATGATTTAGGTGACCTACACACATTTAAAAAAAGATATGTCCAGCAACAACATGAAGACAGGGGCAGCATATAAGTCAATACCAGAAGCATTTATTGACTGATCTGGGGAGATGGATTCCAGTTTCTGTGACAGATTATAAATAATCTCTGATGCCTTTGTTATATTAGCTTTTTGGTTGAATGTACTGTCGTAGTAAATATATAATTTTATAGCTTGGTCTGACTAAAATCTTGTGCATGACCCATTTTGTGTTGGGCCTTTGTATTTAATACAATGAACAAGAGTCCTATCTTGTCAGCCTTGTCAGCAGGTGGCTAAGGATAACACCCACGCCATAGGTCTCTCAGTTCTTCCAACACACGAGTTCTTGCCCTGAGGACACACACACACACACACCCACACACACAACCCACACACACACACACACATCATCACTGATAAACACACACACACACACACACACATCATCACTGATAACAAACACACACACACACACACACACTGATAACAAACACACACACACACACACCACAATCCTCTTCTCTTAGGCTGAACATCTGAAGACAGAGAACCCGACTCAGAGCCAATGCAACAGTGACACTAGCCTGGAGGTGACATCGCCCAACTCATCAGGACCAATCAGAAGATCAGAACTACTAGATTCAACCTACTTCATTTTATTGTATAAAATGTCAGCACACAATGTTTAGGGGCTCTTCTGATAAACTCCCTACGAGTTTGACGAACGGGTCCGTGCACGCGATTCCAGATATCTTTACCTCTGAATAAACTGCGTTATATTATACAATTATCCACCTTGTCCAAAAGTCTCTACTTTTTCTCCCGTTCTCCAGTAAACTTGTTTTATCAACAATAGTAAGGTTCAATGACACAGAAAGCAGTTCAATGTCGGGGTACAGAGTCGCTCTCTTACCAGGATCGCGGTCCGCTCTGACCAGGGTGAAGGTGGCCGGCTCCACCTCTCTGTCCGGGACTCTGTCATCCAGTCAAGTCTCCCAGCTGTATTGGGATTCCGCTGCCAGCAGCGCTTTCATTATTTAGTCCGTTCGTAGCGGGTATGTACACGATCAACAAGATCAGTCCAAAACCGAAGATCAGTCCAAAGCAGAATGTTTGCAGAATGTTTGTAAACTAAGTCTACAAATTAAAACATAAAATAACGCCACACTGCAGGTCGCAACATAGACGCTGGTAGCCGCCATTGTCTTAGTTACGTTCAACGTTACGTCACGTATGACGAAAGCGCGTAAGTGCATGCACACAGACACCCATAGAGAATGTATTGAAAGCTTTGAAATGTGAACAAAATAGATTTTACATGACAGGCTATGAGAGACTTCTGGGCGATTTTTCAACCTGACTGAAATCGCCCAAAAAACGGGCGGGGCCATTTGAAGCACGACTTTAGCCTGATTTGACATTTAGTGGCTGGCAGATCAGACGTGAACACTGATAACTGCTGTTGCCGTGATATAATTGATTAGAAAAAAAATCCCTTCCTTTTCCCGTTTGGCAGTGCGTCGCCCATATCGCCCTATTGAACAAGCCGTCCATGATCCATACTGATATGTCTGCCAGACATGCAGAGATGCGATTCGCCACCTGGTTATCAGAAGGGGGAAAGGAGAAGATTAGTTGTGTATCGTCAGCGTAGCAATGATAGGAGAGGCCATGTGAGGATATGACAGAGCCAAGTGACTTGGTGTATAGGGAGAAAAGGAGAGGGCCTAGAACTGAGCCCTGGGGGACACCAGTGGTGAGAGCACGTGGTGCGGAGACAGCTTCTCGCCACGCCACTTGGTAGGAGCGACCGGTCAGGTAGGACGCAATCCAGGAGTGAGCCGCGCCGGAGATGCCCAGCTCGGAGAGGGTGGAGAGGAGGATCTGATGGTTCACAGTATCAAAGGCAGCAGACAGGTCTAGAAGGACAAGAGCAGAGGAGAGAGAGTTAGCTTTAGCAGTGCGGAGAGCCTCCGTGACACAGAGAAGAGCAGTCTCAGTTGAATGACCAGTCCTGAAACCTGACTGGTTTGGATCAAGAAGGTCATTCTGAGAGAGATAGCAAGAGAGTTGGCTAAAGACGGCACGCTCAATAGTTTTGGAAAGAAAAGAAAGAAGGGATACTGGTCTGTAGTTGTTGACATCAGTGGGATCGAGTGTTGGTTTTTTGAGAAGGGGAGCAACTCTCGCTCTCTTGAAGACGGAAGGGACATGGCCAGCGGTCAAGGATGAGTTGATCAGCGAGGTGAGGTAGGGGAGAAGGTCACCGGAGATGGTCTGGAGAAGAGAGGAGGGGATGGGGTCAAGCGGGCAGGTTGTTGGGCGGCCTGCAGTCACAAGTCACAGGATTTTATCTGGAGAGAGAGGGGAGAAAGAAGTCAAAGCATAGGGTAGGGCAGTGTGAGTAGGACCAGCAGTGTCATTAGACTTAACAAATGAGGATCGGATGTCGTCAACCTTCTTTTCAAAGTGGTTGACGAAGTCATCCACAGAGAGAGAGGAGGGGGGGGGGGAGGGGGGGAGGATTCAGGAGGGAGGAAAATGTGGCAAAGAGCTTCCTAGGGTTAGAGGCAGATGCTTGGAATTTAGAGTGGTAGAAAGTGGCCTTAGCAGCAGAAACAGATGAAGAAAATGTAGAGAGGAGGGAGTGAAAAGATGCCAGGTCGGCAGGGAGTTTAGTTTTCTTCCATTTCCACTCCGCTGCCCGGAGCTCTGTTCTGTGAGCTCGCAATGAGTCATCAAGCCACGGAGCTGGAGGGGAGGACCGAGCCGGCCGGGAGGATAGGGGACACAGAGAGTCAAAGGATGCAGAAAGGGAGGAGAGGAGGGTTGAGGAGGCAGAATCAGGAGATTGGAGGGAGAAGGATTGAGCAGAGGGAAGAGATGATAGGATGGAAGAGGAGAGAGTAGTGGGAGAGAGAGAGCGAAGGTTGCGGCGGCGCATTACCATCTGTGTAGGGGCAGAGTGAGTAGTGTTGGAGGAGAGCGAGAGAGAAAAGGAAACAAAGTAGTGGTCGGAGACATGGAGGGGAGTTGCAGTGAGATTAGTAGAAGAGCAGCATCTAGTAAAGATGAGGTCAAGCGTATTGCCTGCCTTGTGAGTAGGGGGGGACGGTGAGAGGGTGAGGTCAAAAGAGGAGAGGAGTGGAATGAAGGAGGCAGAGAGAAATGAGTCAAATGTGGACATAGGGAGGTTGAAATCCCCCAAAACTGTGAGGGGTGAGCCATCCTCAGGAAAGGAACTTATCAAGGCGTCAAGCTCATTGATGAACTCTCCAAGGGAACCTGGAGGGCGATAGATGACAAGGATATTAAGCTTAAATGGGCTAGTGACTGTGACAGCATGGAATTCAAATGAGGAGATAGACAGGTGGGTTAGGGGAAAAATTGAGAATGTCCACTTGGGAGAGATGAGGATTCCTGTGCCACCACCCCTCTGACCAGATGCTCTCGGGGTATGCGAGAACACATGGTCAGACGAGGAGAGAGCAGTAGGAGTAGCAGTGTTTTCAGTGGTAATCCATGTTTCCGTCAGCGCCAGGAAGTCGAGGGACTGGAGGTTAGCATAGGCTGGGATGAAGTCAGCTTTGTTGGCAGCAGAACGGCAGTTCCAGAGGCTGCCTGAGACCTGGAACTCCAGGTGTGGGGTGCGTGCAGGGACCACCAGGTT